TTCGAGGATGGCCGACCCAAGGACCACCTAGGTGTGAATTTGTTTAAGGTGTAGAAGCTGTCGCCAACACAACAACCACACCCTGAGTCAACGAGCTGCATGACCCAGTGTTTAAGGTGTAGAAGCTGTCGCCAACACAACAACCACACCCTAAGTTAACGAGCTGCATGACCCAGTGTTTAAGGTGTAGAAGCTGTCGCCAACACAACAACCACACCCTGAGTTAATTAACTGCATGACCCAGTGTTTAAGGTGTAGAAGCTGTCACCAACACAACAACCACACCCTGAGTTAACAAGCTGCATGACCCAGTGTTTAAGGTGTAGAAGCTGTCACCAACATAACAACCACACCCTGAGTTAATGAACTGCATGACCCTGTGTTTAAGGTGTAAAAGCTGTCACCAACACAACAACTACACCCTAAGTTAACGAGCTGCATGACCCAGTGTCTAAGGTGTAAAAGCTGTCACCAACACAACAACTACACCCTAAGTTAACGAGCTGCATGACCCAGTGTTTAAGGTGTAGAAGCTGTCACCAACACAACAACTACACCCTAAGTTAACGAGCTGCATGACCCAGTGTTTAAGGTGTAAAAGCTGTCACCAACACAACAACTACACCCTAAGTTAACGAGCTGCATGACCCAGTGTTTAAGGTGTAGAAGCTGTCACCAACACAACAACCACACCCTGAGTTAACAAGCTGCATGACCCAGTGTTTAAGGTGTAGAAGCTGTCACCAACACAACAACCACACCCTGACTTAACGAGCTGCATGACCCAGTGCGTTTAGGGTGTAGAAGCTGTCGCCAACACAACAAACCACACCCTAAGTTAACGAGCTGCATGACCCAGTGTTTATGTGTAGAAGCTGTCGCCAACACAACAACCACACCTCTGACTTAAACGAGCTGCATGACCCAGTGTTTAAGGTGTACAAGCTGTCACCAACACAACAACCACACACTAAGTTAACGAGCTGTATGACCCAGTGTTTAAGGTGTAGAAGCTGTCACCAACACAACAACCACAAACTAAGTTAACGAGCTGTATGACCCAGTGTTTAAGGTGTAGAAGCTGTCCCCAACACAACAACCACACCCTAAGTTAACGAGCTGTATGACCCAGTGTTTAAGGTGTAGAAGCTGTCGCCAACACAACAACCACACCCTGAGTTAACGAGCTGCATGACCCAGTGTTTAGGGTGTAGAAGCTGTCGCCAACACAACAACCACACCCTGAGTTAACGAGTTGCATGACCCAGTGTTTAAGGTGTAGAAGCTGTCGCCAACACAACAACCACACCCTAAGTTAACGAGCTGCATGACCCAGTGTTTAAGGTGAAGAAGCTGTCGCCAACACAACAACCACACCCTGAGTTAACGAGTTGCATGACCCAGTGTTTAAGGTGTAGAAGCTGTCGCCAACATAACAACCACACCCTGAGTTAACGAGCTGCATGACCCAGTGTTTAAGGTGTAGAAGCTGTCGCCAACACACCAACCACACCCTAAGTTAACGAGCTGCATGACCCAGTGCCAAGGAATAGTCCGAGAAGACCGGACAACTCGCCAACTGCACTGGCTAACCATTACCCCAGAACACAAATCGATTAACATCCAGGTTCCCAATTACTGCTGGGTAGACAGAGGCAAATGGCGTAAAGAAACCTGCCCATTAGTTTACTGTGCTCATGAATCGAACCTGGGACCACTCATTTGCGAGGCGAGCATGCTGACCATTACACCACACACACACAGGTCAAAGTGGTCTCTTCTATACAAAGTTATTCATCAATTACATCATGTAAATATTAATTCTGTAATATATCTACCCCTTCCACCGTGATATAGGTACCCCCCATGATATAACTACCCCCTCCACCGTGATATAGGTACCCCCATGATATAACTACCCCCTCCACCGTGATATAGGTACCCCCATGATATAACTACCCCCTCCACCGTGATATAGGTACCCCCATGACATAACTACCCCTTCCACCGTGATATAGGTACCCCCATGATATAACTACCCCCGCGTTAAACTTATTGGTCCTAAACCCTGAAATAATAACAGGTCATTAATCAGTTTGTTCAGATAAGACTATTTATTCCTGCTCCTACTACTACTACTACTACTACTACTACTACTACTACTACTACTACTACTACTACTACTATATATGAATGAATTACTAAACATTGTTGTATGGTTACAGATGTGGACGACAGTTGTGTTAGTGGTGGTGTGTGTGGTAGCGGCTCCCTGTACACATGCCAGGCGATATGACTTGGAATGTGAGACTCTTCCCTCAACCATACACGTGGCTAAAGGTAAGGTTCATACATACATACATACATACCTGTACATACTTACATATTATACATACATACATACATACATACATACATAAACACACACACACACACTGTACCCCATAATGAGCGATAACGACCAATTGTGTGTTTGTTTACAGAGGAGTTTGACGAAGCTGGACGTGTAGAGCGGATTTCAGGAGGAGGATCGGCCGTCAACAAGTGTGAGGGAGCCTGTGTGTCCAAAAGTCCAACCTCAGTCAATACTCCTTCTGGTTTCCCCAAGGCCGTGCCAAGTCCGGTGATGATGTTAGTATTAAGTCCGTTGGCGACAGTGCCAAGTCCGGATATTAGGAAGAGGGCCAAGTCCGGATATTATGCTCAGTGCCAAGTCCAATTATCAAGGTGATCGTCAAGACTAATTATGATGGCCAGCACTACGTGGGTATACAAGAGCCAAATGTCCTAAAATATAAGCTTAGTGTCCAAACTTTAAGCTGGGTGTCCAAACTTCAAGCTGAGTGTCCTATACTTTAAGCTGGGCGTCTAAATTTTAAGCTGGGTGTCTAAATTGTAAGTTAGTTGACCAGATTTTAAGCTGGTTGTCCAAATTTTAAGCTGGTTGTCCAAATTTTAAGCTGGGTGTCCAAATTTTAAGCTGGGTGTCCTAACTTTAAGCTGGATGTCCAAACGTCAAGCTGGTTGTCTAAATTTTAAGCTGGTTGTCCAAATTTTAAGCTGGGTGTCCTAACTGGCGGCACACTGATCATTAAGGATTGGGGTCCAGTGCAAATAGGCCCTTACACTAGACGTAATGGGGCCCCTTTATAACTGGGGCCCCGTGAAGATAATTCCTCTCTCTTTTTCCTCCGTTTATAATTCTTCCATCCTCTTCTCCCTTTCTACCACCCTCCTCCCATCACCTCACCCTCTCTCTCCCCCTTCACCTCTACCATCCCTCCTCCACCTCCCAACACAAGCCAAGGTCACACACACACACACACACACACACACACACACACACACACACACACACCTTACACCGTATATACTTCACGTCTCTATACTATTACACCGTATATACTTCACGTCTCTATACTATAATTACAGTGATTACAAGACTGGCTGTAGTCAGGATCATGTACCCGTGTTTACCTGTAACCCACA